AAACTACTTAATACACATCTAATTTAGAAAAAGTAATCTATTAGAAATATAAAGTTAATAACTACCCAAAAAAATCCAGGAATATGAAAAGTCAATAACTTATACACATCAAACCGCAAGACATAAGTCCTTATGAACTTTCTGAAAATTTCTTCTCTATCATGTTTTCCCTCTCTGATCTCTATCATGCAAGTAAATAGAATGAAGGGGTAAAGAAAAGACAATTGTATAAACTTTAAGAGAAAATTAGGTCACTTAACTTTCCAGGAGTTGGATTCTCCTGCCCTCAACATCCACCCCAACTCCACAGGCTATTACAAATAATAAGGGGGCTACCTCAAGTGGCAGCCAAACACCCACTCCAAATCTTTTCTTCTCACCTCTCCCCAAATCAGTCTACAGGGGTGACATTGAGAGCAGAGGCTATGGGTTCACACCATTTCAAAGAATTAGCCATCATAATACTCCACCACCCTCTTCCTCCATTCAAGAAAGTACACCATGAAGCAAAAAGCACAAGTGATAACATAAGGGTAACTGCATCCATGCACTCCAGTGATTCCAAATGCCAATACTACAACTCTTAGTGGTCCCAAATTTATTTCTGTTCATGCAGATCTACGTGGCTGAGAATTAGCACCTTGGAGAGAGTCTAGGGGATAGAAGTGAGGAGTCTGGATAGGTGTCTGGGATGGAATACCCATCCAGGAACCTGAGTATCTATCCTTTGCCTGTATGATATTTGGTCACAGCTCCCTACCCAATTGCCCCCAAGGTTGCAAATGTCCTGCCCTTTCTATAACACAGGAAAGGTGTTCAACATCCTCTCTTAGATCAGGAGTTGGGTTCACCTCCCCTGGACAGAATCACTAGAACTTCAAAATATAGTGCAAAAGAACTGATGAGTGGTTTCCCTCCTCAACACTGCACATAAGAGTGAAAGGTTTGTATTACTGACCATTAAGTACACAGAACCATGAATCTCATACACAAGAGCACTTGAGCTTCCTGACCTCTACCCTATGATGGACTTGCTTCCCATTTGTATTCACGTAGTATAGTTCAAATTGTTTTAGATCACCTGAATTTATGCTAGCAAACGTCTAATTATCCAAACAGACACTGGTTGAACTACATTTGCAGATGCAGTCTCTGGTTGCTGTGCATAAGAAGCCACAGTCAAATGTTCCCCATTGGCTTTACATTTTTTTCTTTCATATAGAAAAATTTTCCATGATTTTTTCCTCTAAAGGGAAATTACAGTCAATAATGGTAAATGGTCGGAATTCTAAACAGGAAAAAAACCTCTTCTAGGAATATGAAATAAATTCCTAATTAAGAATAAAAATCCCCCCCCCCAAAAAAAAAAAAGAATAAAAATTCTAGGGCACCTGGGTGGCTCAGTGGGTTAAGCCTCTGCCTTCGGCTCAGGTCAGGATCTCAGGGCCCTGGGATCGAGCCCCGCATCAGACTCTCTGCTCAGCAGGGAGCCTGCTTCCCCTTCTCTCTCTGCCTGCCTCTCTGCATACTTGTGATCTGTCTGTCAAATAAATAAATAAAATCTTTTTAAAAAAAAAGGAATAAAAATACATTAAACTAAATCACATTCTTAGTCACTCTATCAGAACAAGTCATTTTTTTCATCTAACATATACGATCTTCCCATTAAACTAAGATTACAGTCACAGTTCAGTGTTCCTGTAAGGAGTAGGTGAACATAAGTTAAGTTCCTAGACATTTCCATGAACTAGACCAAAGCCTTGAAGACCAGCTCTCATTAACTAGCTGTGTGAACTTAGGCAAGCTGCTCATTCTCTCTACATTTATTTTTCATCTGCAAAACAAGAAAAAGTCTAGCACCTACTCAAGGTGACTAATGCAAACAGTAAATAAGCTAATATACACAAAGCTCCAAGAACAATGCTTGGCACATAGTAAGCCCCCAAAAGAGGTCTACTGGTCGCAGTAGTAGTAATAATAGAAACAGCAGCAACAGCAGGAGTCTAAATTGTTCCCCAAGCTTTATTTCATCTAGCTCCACTTTTTAACGAACACCAAAACCCCACTGGTAGAAATTTCTAGATGTCCTTCGTATCTTACTCTCCTCCCTGGAAAAAAGAGAGGACTATACTATAACTCCCAATCCCTTGCAATTGGGTCACTTCCAGCCCAAGGAACTGAGGAGCCAATGTGCCATCTCCACACACCCTCTTCCTCTGGTGTGACAACTCCTGAAGCCATGTGCCAAGATGCAGAAAGCTTGAATCCTGAGTCACTGCCTGGAGGAGGGCTGCCCTGGAGTCACCTGACCTACTTCATATTTCCAGTGAATAAGAAGAAACCTTGATGTGTTAAGCCACTGAGATTTGATTGCTGCAGAAGGATCCACCCCATCCTGACCAATAGGTACTCATATACTCCTAAAACAGATCCTGACATAATTCCCACAGGAGAAGGAGACGTGCTTCAATTTTTAAAAAATAACTTGCTTTTTGTCAATCTTTATATTCTTTACTTTGTAATACTACCTAATACTGCAAGTAAATTGACTTTTCAAACTCTCCATGCTGCTTCCTCCTTTTGCATTTTTAGCCTAAAAAAGAAAATGATTACAGGGGCGCCTGGGTGGCTCAGTGGGTTAAAGGCCTCTGCCTTCAGCTCAGGTCATGATCTCGGGGTCCTGGGATCGAGCCCCGCATCGGGCTCTCTGCTCAGCAGGGAGCCTGCTTCCTCCTCTCTCTCTGCCTGCCTCTCTGCCTACTTGTGATCTCTCTGTCTGTCAAATAAATAAATAAAATCTTTTTAAAAAAAAAAATGATTACATTTTAATTATATTTAATAGAAAGGTTAACACTGGAGCTTTTACTGGATCATATGTCACATGATCATAGGGCACCCATAGTACCTAAGGTAGCCTATGATCATAGTATTCTCCAGAATTAGGAAGGGGTACTAGGAGCCCCCTCAAGTATTCACTTATTTCTGGCTTACAGCAACTTGGGACAGTTAAGTAGGATTATGGATATTTAAACTAAACTAACCGTTACAAAATAGACAAGGGGTTTAAAATGCTTTTACAACAGCATGAAGGTTTTGTTTGTACATTAAAATGTACCTCAATATGTCATTTATTTTATTTTGTCAACAACTTCCATACATATTTAATTCTGTGTGAATGTCGGAAAAGACACATAATAGATTGGCATAATAGCACATCATGTAATTTATAAGTAAACATACATGTGTAAGTGAGAGTCTGTGCTCAAAAAAAATTTAATGATAGCAACATAAGATAAAAGTAATTTTTGAGCTGACAGTTTAAAGAATGGCTTTCAAACTTTTTGTCATTACTTGCATGATTCCTAAATAGCTGAACCATTTTTCCAAAACAACTAAATAAGAAAACCAGTACAGAATTAGGGAAATACACATAGCAGTGACAGGTTCATAAAGACATCACAAACCAGCAAAGTCAGGGGGGAAAAGCAGAAATGATAGTAAAGAGCATTAATTTGATTTAGGACCGAAGAACAAAACTTTCTGTTCCAACTAAAAATCACACTTTCACATCTGAAAACCAGCAAAGACTCTGTCAGATAGTCAAAAGGATAAGGTGATTGCTTTCTACACATAGAAGAGAATGAAGAACAGATTCTCACAAAGATCAGAAATGCTTCTAAAGATACTTGGACTCCAAGGGGTGGTATCCAGGGCAACAGATAGGAGGGCCAGTAGACAACCCCTAGAAAGGCAGAGAGCTTCGTGAGGCCAACATCAAGACCAATTATCAAAGAATCACAAGGTCAGCCAAGTTAGAATTATCTCAAATTTCTACAGAAAGTTAAATGATACCCGGAAATTTTTCCACCAAATGCCACAGCACTCTACTCCCCATCTCCTAGCACTTATCTCAATACTCGTAAGAGGTGAAGCTGGGATTTAAACCCAGGAATGTCAGACTCCGAGGCCCTTATGAAAACAGGAGCAGATAAATGAGCCCCACAGAATAGGTAGGATTTGGAAATGGAGACTAGCCAACAATAAAAGGGAAAAGGAAGGGAGAGGCTTCCAGAGAAGGGAAACCTTACTCTGGTAGAAAGCTACCAGAGAAAGGGAACAGAAAGAGCAAAGAACTGAAGGGGTAAAACCCTGAGTAAGTGCAGGAATCACCCAAGTGGGAGTGCAGGTAACACAGGAGATGCGAAGGGAGGGGGTATGAGATAAGGCTGGAAAGCCTGGCTCAGGCCTTCCAAAGTAAGGTGCTATTGGCTCAGCCAAAATGGCAGAATTCACTCTGAAGCCAATAAGTAATTATTGAGGTCTGTAAAGCAGAGAAATGGTGTAACTGAAAGTAGACACAGGGAAAACTAATCTTGCTATAACATGGAAGATAGATCAAAGAGTAAGAAGGTGTCTTGCACTAGTACATGCTTATTTAATATGAATGGATAAAGGAAAGACCAGGTTACAAATTTTTTTGTTTCTCCAACCTGGTATCAAACCCATTGCACCCAGTGTTACTTAATATTATTTGGTTTGCTGTTTAGAGAATAAACTCCACTCATTCTAGAAAGAAATAAAGTTGCTCTCACTTCAAAAATAAATCAATTCATCAGTCAAATGTGGCTCTTTAAATGTTGCTGTTAAAGTGTCTACTCTTGCAAAAATTAACATTTTCCTCTTCGATGCAGAGGGAAGTACATCTGAGCTGCTGTTGTTACTGCTGAAAAAGAAAAAAAAAAGTATAAAAGTTAGGCAATAAAGAATGATTCCCCCTCTTCTGCAACAGTGTGAAAAAGTTAATGGAAAATAAGATCAGAAGTTATAATTTCATATTGCTTGTATGACCTTTTGTAGTCTCTAAGTCAAACACGTCCTAAACCATAGCTTTCTTGATGATGCTGAACTTTCTTCCGCATAGGTCGTGGTGCCATCTGCAAAGCATCAACTACTCAGTGAAAAGCCAAGGCTGAAAAACACAGAGATGAGTCATAACCCACCTGATTTTCTTCATGGGACACCCTCATCTGTTCCTTGAGAACGGACATTCGGGCTGCCTCTTCTTTCCTCAAGACTCTCTCCTTTTTGAGCTCAGGACTCCAGAAGGTCTTGATACTGTTCATGGAAGATCCTAACTTGCTGTCTTTGATGTCTAGTTCTTTCCGGAGGAGGTCATTCTCTCTCTGAAGTTCCTTGAGCTGAGCTTGAAGGTCTAACATTGTGCTGTCCCTTACCTGCCTCAACATGGAAGGGACCTGATGGTGGTGATGATGGGATGAGCTAGTCAGACCACCATGTTGATCCGTGTATGAAAGAACATCTGTGTGGGAAAGTCCAGCAGAAGCAATATTGGGACTACTCCCCATGGCTGTGACTCGGCCTCCATATACAGCTCGATTTGTGGCCCTTCCCAGAGTCATGGTGCCCTTTGGGTAAGTTGTCGAAGCCACCCCTTCATGATCACTCAGGTACATAGGTCCAGACGTAGCATAGGCTGCATTAAGGGACTGGATGTTCTCCATGGACAGTGTCTTGCCTGTTCCTCCACCTCCCCCACTGCTTGTTCTTCTGTGGCCCAAACGAGGAGACCTTGGCAAACGAGGAGATCTGGAAGGACTACCTTCCAGATTGGTGATTGTTCTTGCACTTCCATACATTTTTCTTCTATTATGAGGTGCTATTGAAGAGAAGGAATGTTATACTAAGTTGGGGGTTAAGCCAGTATTTCCACTATTGGCCAGAATTTTCAATGCATTCTTTTCACAGTCTGTTCCAGAAAATGACTCCAGAGGATCTGAAAAATGAGAAAAAAAAAAAAAATCAAAAACAAACTCCTTTAGAACTCTGACTTTATTGTATTTTTAAAAATATATTGATAGGTCAATGATGATAATGACAGATACAAGAACAATAGATAGCCACACCCATATTCATTTTTTTTAAGTAGTCCCAAACTTTATTTACTACATGTAAACATTTTATCTATTTCCCCCCCTAGCTCAAAAGTTCTCAGAGCAGAGAAGCAGCTCATTTTTCCTCAGGAAAATGATGCTCTGCATTTTGGTTTGTGCTAAGTGACAGCTGGGACTTCCAGAAAATTCACCATAGAATTCCTCATCATAGGGAAATTTGCTATAAAATACTCCATCCTAGGGGCATGGCCCCCATACACAAGTGGCTTGACAGTGACTCTGAGAAGCTTTTTCTTCCTAGGACATCACATAATAGTCGAGCATGTTGTTACTTCTCACTGCTGTACACATTCCAGACATCACTAATCCACCACAGTCCTCATTTCCGCTAAGGCAGGAACTCTTCTCAACACTCTAGAGGGTTTACCACCAATCAACTCACACTGGCTCAGGAGTGAACCTATTGGCCATTTTGGAGCTAGAAGAAAAAAAAGAAGGCTCGACCATCAAGACTCCTGTACATCTAGCCAGATCCTGAATGCTATTACCAGAGAAAATGGTAGTCCTGTCTTTTTCTCCCTTCACACACTTCTTTCAGGCTGGTGTTTTGGGACTTCTTTTCCATTCTGGTTGACCTAAATAATCACTCCACACTAATTTACACCTAAAGAGAAATGGCACAAGGGAATAGTAGACCATGTTAGAGCTCCTGGGCCCATACCCCCTGGAGAAGAGTAGTAGAAGCTCCCTGTCATAGTCACTCAAGAACTTTGTTGCAGAATTTTATGTAGCTGGGATACAGAGTTGTGATTATCCCTTCAATGTTGGGCCCAAATGGCCTTATTGTGGTGCATAATGGCCTCCCGCTCTTCCTTTGAGGATATGTTTAGTATACTTTATTTTTCTTCACGTTTTAGACACTAAGATCACAGATTTTGGAGAAGGGCAAACCAGGGTTCAAATTTCTATTCTAACACTGACTACCTTAGTGACCTTAGGTTAGGGATAGGCATGTGGTCCACATTGGCCCAAAAAGAGTTACACCATACTTTAGTTGGAACAATTGGGAAAGACAAGCTCTTTTGCAGCTAGAATTACTTGCTTTTGAGATGGAGCTTCAGAGGACCTCCACATGGAAACGGCTGCCTAGGGAGTAAAGCTAATGCAAAGGAAAGCAGAGCCAAATTTTTTTTTTCCCCAAGATTTTATTTATCTATTTGACAGAGAGAGAGAGAGAGAGAGAGAGAGCACAAGCAAGGGGAGTGGCAGACAGAGGGAGAAGGAGAAGCAGACTCTCCACTGAGCAAGGAGATACATGCAGGGCTCCATCCCAGGACCTGGGGTAATGACCAGAGCTGAAGGCAGTTGCTTAACCAACTGAGCCCCCAGGCACCCCAGAGCCAAACTTTAGATAGTATGAAATCAAACCAAGTGACATCACTTGATACCCTGGATCCAGCACTCACTGAAGGTACATCTACTCCAGACCATTTTAGCTACACATGCCAGGCAGACTGACTGAATTATTGACCCCAATTCATCACTCCTTCTTGCATCTATGTCCTTGGCAGTGCCCTCCCAATCTGACTCTGAGTTCACTCATATGATTTGTTCTGGCCAATAAGGTGGTAGCATATGTGAAGGAAGCAGAGGCCTAAAGCAGCTCTTGTGTATCTACTTTCTTGCTCATTTTCCTCTGCAATAGTAATTAGAATATGCCCCGTCTTGCTTGCTGGAAGTTGAGAAATACGAAATAGAGTCAAGGTGTCCTGGCCAATAGCCAACCAACCCCAAGACATTTAAGCAAGCCCACTCAAGATGAGCAGAGCTGCCTAGCCAACCCACAGCTGACCACAGAGGCATGAGCAAGTCCAGCTGATATCCAATGAGCCCCATACACTAATGGACAAAACAAATACTTCTTATTATGTCAATGATGTTTTGCAGCTGGATGTTCTGCAGCATTACTGCAGCAACAGACAATGTATACCTTTGCTCATAAGTTTCTTTTTTCATTACATTCAATTCTACTTGGGGTATCTGTGCTTTACATCCTAAAAAGTCCTCATATACAGTATGAAGAAATATTTTCCATAAAGTCTCCTCCTTTCCCTAAAAAGTCCCAAGAGTTACACTCATTTCTAACTAAGGAACTTAGTTTCAAATGTTTACATTACTTAGAGCTATATTTTATTTTACTTGAAAATACACAAAAATCATTTTGTATCTAAGATTTTTGCATGATAATCTGTTCTGTAGAAAAGGCAGATCAACAATTCCAACAATAGGATTCAGTTACATAAATGATGAAAGAGACAGACTGACAGTGGATAGAATAATGTAACCATAACATGAATAGTTAATGAGATGGAAAGATATTCGTGACACACTCGTCGGGAACGACTACAAAACATTTTTTGACTTACATAAAACACACATACATACACATTACTTAAAGAGAAGACTGGGACAACACACATAAAACGTTATCAAGTGGTGGGATTCCAAATGGTTTTCATTTTCTTTTGTTTATTTGTATGTGTGAAAATTTCTATAATAAAGATCTTTTAGATTGTCTTTTTAGTCTCTATTTCATTTGTTTGGCCTTGTGACTACTTATACCAGCATCTCCTGCAGAAGTGACACTGTTCCAGCTCTGAGCCTGGCTCTAAAAGGCCTAGCAGCCCTAAAAAAAACAACAGAGATTTAAGGTCCAAGCTATCTTACTGGAAAGAGAAGTCACACAAAAAGATCCCAGAAGAGAACCCTCCTACACTGTTGGTGGGAATGCAAGTTGGTGCAGCCACTCTGGAAAACAGCATGGAGGTTCCTCAAAAAGTTGAAAATAGAGTTACCTTACGACCCAGTGATTGCACTACTGGGTACTTACCCTAAAGATACAAAAGTAGTGATCCAAAGGGGCATGTGCACCCGAATATTTATAGCAGCAATGTCCACAATAGCCAAACTATGGAAAGAGCCTAGATGTCCATCAACAGATGAACGGATAAAGAAGACGTGGTATGTGTGTATGTATATATGCATATGTACACACACACACACACACACACACACACACACAGAGAGAGAGAGAGAGAGAGAGAGAGAGAGAGAGAGAGAGGAATACTATGCAGCCATCAAAAAGAAATCTTGCCATTAGCAACGATGTGGATGGAACTAGAGGATATTATGCTAAGCGAAATAAGTCAATCAGAGAAACAATTATCATATGATCTGTCTGATATAAGGAATTTTGAGAGGCAAGGTTGGGGGGGTCATGAGGGGAAGGGAGGTAAAAAATGAAACAAGATGGGACCAGGGAAGGAGACAAAGCATAAGACAATCTTAATCTCAGGAAACAAACTGAGGGTTGCTGGAGGGCAGGGGGGTGGGTGGGGTAGGGTGGCTGGGTGATGGGACACTGGGGAGGGCATGTGCTATGGTGAGTGCTGTGAATTGTGTAAGACTGATGATTCATAGACCTGTATCCCTGAAAAAATACATTATATGTTAATTTTTTAAAAATCCCAGAAGATGAGACATCACATGAAGAGAGCTACAAGAAGGAGAACCAAAACATCCCAGCTAAAAGCCAGCACCAAGACACCAGAATGGTGAGACAGGCCTCTTAGACCGTCCAATCCAGCTGCCATCTAAAATTAGGCATATGAGTGACAGCCAACACTGTGTAATAGAAGGACAGCCCAATCAACCCGAAGAGTGATAGGAAATACAGGAGATCAAAATAATGACTGGTTGGAGTTCTGACCCTATTAGAATAAGAAATAAATATAATTCTGTATTTATTTTGCAAACACTTAACAGAGAAGTCAGAATGTCAAAAGGAATACAGGTCCATCATCATTAGTCTGTGTGTCTAAGAAATGAAGAAACAGGTAGAAGTTGGTTACTCCCAGAGCACACCAGACAAGAGTTATGTACAATTCCACAGAACTTATTAAATCAAAGAGGAATTTCAGGGACCATCAAAATGATAACAGAATAATTTCTTTACCAGTACACATCTTCTTTTTATTTTTTTTTATTTTTTTTTAAACAGAATCACAAGTAGTCAGAGAGGCTGGCAGAGAGAGAGGAGGAAGCAGGCTCCACGAGGAGCAGAGAGCCCGATGCGGGGCTCGATCCCAGGACCCTGGGATCATGACCTGAGCTGAAGGCAGAGGATTTAACCCACTGAGCCACCCAGGTGCCCCAGTACACATCTTCTTAACAATAAATCATCATTAGCAACCTAAGCCTGAAACTTTATTTGGAAATTGCTCTCTTTCGCCACATTTGCAAAGAGTGGGATGGTTTCCTGGAACAACGTTGCCCTTATACATAGCTGCAGCACACACAGTGATGTTCTTCTCACAGATGAGGCAGGCTCAGTTGACAAGGTAAGCCAAGGCGAGTTCCCATGGCTGTCATGTCCTCCTAAGCCTCATGATTCTTATTTGTTCTACTGAGTCACTCACAAACCCCCCACCCCCAGCTGTGTTTAAGTCTCCTGATATATTTTTAGGTACTTTGTTTCGACACTTGGGCTTTTTTGGGTTGTAGTCTCCTAATTCTCATCTATCCTAATTCTTGTCTATTTTTTTTTTTCGTTCTGTAAAATGAATCTCTGAGAGACAGCAAAGAGATCAACTTTATTCAGCAATCAATAATGCAATAATGCCTTCTATTTCCAATGACTGACTTCAAGGTAACCATTTCTAAGCTTTTCCCCCTACCTATGAATG